CGGCTTTCGTTTTTCGGGCATGTTCGGCAGTAATGCACCCGCTCTCGATCTTAGATCCGTGCCCTGCACAACAGTAGATCGCTGTGGTAGATCTGTGTACGCATGTACACTTCGACATTTAATGCCCTTAGACTTTGGTTTACATTGTAATCATCCCTCCCTCGACTACTGGCACGACCGGAAGAGATGATCGCGGCACGGTTGCTCCGACTCTTGTGTCGTATCCTCTGTAGTAAGCAGTAGTCTAGTCTAGAGACTATACTTTTTCTGCCTTGCGTTGTCAGAGTCTGCACCGACCCGCAACAAGCATCGCACCGCGGGAAAACCAAATGCGGGGTGCATCTCAGTGCTCGTTGGCTGGGCAGTTGAGAATTTCAGCGAACACGCGATGGGGCGACTGTTTGTGAGCTGTCCACGGCCGCTGCTGTTCCTACTGCTGTAGCCTTGCGTGATTGACTCCCGGGGGGTTGATTCATCCCCACATGTTAGCGAAACTTTCGGTCGACAAACATACAACACCGAAGATAGGCGCTCTCACCTTCGCAATCTGTGCGCAACGCGAACGCGTTGGCGCTGACTGCAATCCACTGCGATTCTGCTTGACGAGTGCTTCGACAAGCGCGGAAATTGGCCAGTGGAATCTGGTGTGAATGCAAGTCGGGGGAAGCGATGTCGGCGCGTCGGCGATGCAGACTTTTTTTTTGCGTCTCGTAGTGAAACGGTCCATCTCCAGTAGATGCCGCCGCACAAGCACGCCTTCCACCACGTCTATTTTGTTGGGAAATGTACGAAAGTGCATGTTTGTTTACTTCCTTTTTGTTTGTTTTCAGGGCTCAGATTGGTCTCAAATGCGCTTTCGTCCACTTTCGGAACTGGAACAGTCATCCTCCCGTAAATGGTGAATGGACGCACGTCACAACATGCGCATTCATGTGAAGCAAAAGGGTGTTGCTTTCTTGGCGTTTCCATGTGGTATATCAACCACGAACAAGCTCTACGTGTTGAACATTTGCATGGGGTGATCACCGGAATGTTTCAGTCAACCAGCGGTCGATTGACGGCCGTTCGCCCTACCATATATTGCTTCGTGTGGAAGGCATCTTCGAGCTTTGGTCGTGTCGTCCTCACCTCCCAGTCACAGGACAGCAAGTGGCCCTCTCGTGAACGGGGGAAGGGCTCAATAACTTTCCCCAGCATGAACATGCGACTGAGACAGATATCGGTGAACAGGCATGTGTTTGTGGATATTAATCGTTCCACATGTGTGGTGGAAAGAGAATACACGCACGTCTCGTAATTTCTGTGATTTGGGCGAATGTTGTTGTGAAGTCTCACTCCTCCGAAATTCAACATGCGGGGGTCGTTCCCAGAACAAAAAGGCAACATGGGAAGCAAGCGCGACCAGCGAGCTTCACCACCAGCAGTGCTTCGTGCGGGAATGTAGATGCACGCTCGGTTGGGGGGTTGGGACAACAACGGTTCGCGAGGACAGCATAACGGAACCATTCCGCTGCCCTCAAATGCCAAAGAGCTCAGACGTGAGTAGAGCGGAGGACACACAAAACGGTGCCCTCTCACTGCCATGCCCGCGCCACGCGCGCACGCAGCCGTGTGTTAATTTTTATCTCTTTTTGTTCTTCGTTCATGCGTCACACAAACGGTGTGCTGGGTTTGCAACCAAATGCCAAAGCAAATGCGCCAACAGAAAGGAGCACAACGAAAGCCGGGGCTTCTACCAACGTCAAACGACGACAACACCGCCCCCTTGGAATCCCCCCGGTTCCCTGCACTCTTCCACCAAGCTCGTGCTGCAACACCAAGCTACCGCGGGTAATAAGAACCGCCAACAAGACCCCAAAAGCACGGTAGCGGCCACGCTTGCAATCGCGACAGCAGCAGCAAAACCACGACCATTTCCAAAAATTAGAGCATGCGCTTGATGAGGGCGTTGATCTTAACGCCGCGCTGCCCCGCGTCCCCGCCCTCGTTGAAGTGGAGGAGCTTCTGGCGGAAGCCGCCGTTAGGGTTGGAGAGCTTGAAGGGCCACAGGAAGTTGTTGGCCGCCTTGAAGTTGGGGCCCACGGTGTATATCTCGTGGATCAGGTCCTCCACGCAGATGATGCCGGCCTTGCCGAGGGTGCCCTCGATCACGGAGTTGTCCGAGATGGGGATGCGCTGCTTGTTCACCTGCGGCAAAGAAATCAGGGGAAACTCCTGAGCATGAGGTGGCCAGCGTATGCATCATCATACTTCAATCGATGGGCGCCTTGAATCCATACTACGAGTAGAACGAACCAGATCGAATTCATCACTAGGAAACGGCACTCGCAGCAACGGTAATACACGTCGTACGCTTGATGCCTCGACTGCTGTAGTATTCTCTTGAAAGGGGGTATTATTTTAGCCTTGCTGTGACTGTAAATACTATAAAAAACACTTGAGGTTCCCCTCTTTCACACACCTTTCCGAACCCGCGCTTGTAGATGAGCTCGCGCACCGTCTTCAGGTTGGGGTACCCGTACGCCACGTAGGGCTCCACGAGGCGCAGCATCTTGACGGTCGCGGCGTTGAGCTTGACGAAGACCGAGTTGTTGATCTGGCGCAGGCGGAGGAGCTGCAGGATCTTGCGCACCTTGGGGGACACGCCGATGATACCGCGGATGCGGACGACAATCACCACACCGGCCTGAAAAAAAGGACCGGCAAAATAAGTGAGCAGGAAGGCGGGGTTCGAGGAGATGAAAGGAGAAGACGGCATGTCATGCACGAAAGGTTAGTTGCGTGATCTACTTCCAGAACAAGGAATTAATGTCGCCTGGAGAGAGCAAGAAACACATGCGAGTAAATCATCAATTGATGCCCAACATAGAGTCCAATGATGGGAGAAAAAAAAATTGAATGACGCCGAGAGCTGACTGATCAGGTGTCGCACGCGAGAATGCAGCTACATGAGCGTAGTCTGACAGCTTTCACAAGATGCCCACATCTGAGGTGTGAAGCTGGATATGCTTTTCGAGGTATTTTTCTGGCAAGTCAAGAAACCAGACGAAAGAATTAATCGCCCATGGCTTGGAGCCAAATAGTCACAACCGAATGCAGAGTACGATACGACACGGGTGAAATAGCGAGGTCGCCTGGACCTCGACTGAGACGGCCGGGGCGTGGAGTGCACCATGCACACCAACCGCCACCTCGAGAACCAGGGTATAACCCCTATCGTACCGCACAGAGAGTGCTGCCAAGACTGCTGTTAAGCTCATCAACCGAATAAGACTGCCCGAATGAACGCAGCAAGTGTGTGCACACACCTCAGCCGGGACGTGGATGTTACCCGCCGCCTTGGCCTCGCGGCGGAAGCGGATCGAGTCGTTCTCCTGGGCGCGGTACTCCTTGACGTAGCGCTCGGCACGCTCGAAGATCTCGGTCTTCTTGGCGGCAGCCGCCTGTGTTGTTCGTTTTCACCCCGACAACGAGAAACGAGTTGATGGCAAAAAATCGACGGCAAGCAAAGCCATGAGAAAATCATACTTTTATGTACGGCGAAAATCAAGATGGTTGGGCAGTCTTAATGGTGTTTACGTACGAACTTCTAGGCATTACCAGTTTCGCGAGAGAACCTATGCTACGAGAAACTGTAGCTTGCATCTTTGCGAGGATAATCGCCTTCTTCAAAAGCCATCTGCCGTGAGTGCAAGCTACCAGTTCCAGAGAGGCTCCCTGCTCTCATGTGGTAAGACAGCGTTAGAAGACCTGCAAATCAAAATGTGTGCTGTGCTTGTACGATATAACGGGTTGTGTTGTGCTTGCCGACGCCCTGTCCACAGCAGCAGCTACTGCCATCCGCCTACACAAGCGTGGGGAATCTCTGGCCGCTTGGCCCCAAAAACAGACCGTGGCAGCAGTAATTTACATGTAGAGTTCTCAAAAAAAGGATGGAGACATGGACACCTGCGTAACAGCCGTCTACAGCAGTACACGACATGCACATGCATGCATATAGAAAGCATAGACTCAGTTTAGTCTACACAGCAGCGAGCGTTTGTTGGGGTGATCATAGTCAAGGAGCAAAGATACATGTGCACACACCTATCATCTCCCCATTTTCACCGCGCGGTAGGGGTGTGGCCACACGAGGCTGCCGCGTCTCTCACCCTCGGGTTAGACCACGGAGGGAAATTTAAACCGTTCGGGCAAGAGACTTGTGTTGGATGCCAAAGATGTCGCCCTACAGGAGCCATCCGATGCTGAATCGGGATGAGAAAACTACCTTGGCCCTATCTACGCTTCTTGTGTGTGCACGTAGTGTTCCGATGTCCGGGTTAGACCACGCAGGGAAATTTGAACCTCGTGACAGGGAGACTGCATGAGTGCACCAAAGCTGATCGAACTTCTAGCTGCGCTCCATGGGAGTCGGGACTAGCATTGGCTGCAACATAGCGCTGCCCTGCTGTCCACCGCCGGACGCAGCAGCAGCAGCCCGCGCGCTGGTTAGACCACGGAGGGATTTAAACCAGCAGCGCGGGCAAAGGCAAGGGTAGCGGGTGTGGTGCTCCTGTTGAAAGAAGATGGTGTAGCACGGCGTGCTAGGCAGCGCCTTCCTCCTTGATCCTCCCAGCAGAGAGAGGAGGACACCTAGAGGTGTCGCCACACCACTCGATTTCTGCGGTGAGGCCAAGAGAAACTCATCGTACCTTCTGGTCGGCCTCCTGCTTGGCGGCCTGCTTGGCGGCGATGGCCTCCTTCGTGCGGCGCTTCTTGAGCACCGACTCAGGGATGATGGGCTTGCTCTCCTTGCTGACAGCGGCCGGCATGGTTGCTAGGGGTACCCGCTTTTGCAGAACAAAAAGAGAGAGTGAAGCGAAGGCAGCGGCCTAGCCACCAGAGCTGCACTGGCCGGGGAGCCGCCACTGAGAATTCCACATATGCTACGTTTTTTAGTTTTTCTGTTGGGCACCAATTGCCATTTGGGAAGCCCTCATGCAACCACAGCTCTGTTGTGTCTTCCTCGTGTCGACCGTCCGTCGTGATGGCAGACATGAATGCGATCGTGGCTCTCCAGAAGGCGGAGCGCCTAGTGGCTACCATTGCACGGGCCTTCTACACCGACATCACCGTCCTCGTTGTCGACACTCTTATCAGAGAAAAGTGAGGTGTCTCGTCTGCCCTTTGAAGAAACTGACTGCTGTACGGTTTACCCTTGCGCCGGATGTCGCTGCCCCTGTGGGTATATACCGGGAATAAGCATACCCTCGGCGCATCGTTGGCGGTCGATGTTGCGTTTACGGCTGTCCATCGTCCAAGACGATGGGGTTTTCAACCGGCAGTCTGGAAGTACTGCATGCTGGTTTGCGGGTGTACAGTACAAGCACACGTAAAATAGAAGAACAGCAGCTCTTGGCAGGCAAGAGAATGTCCGCACCTGTTGCCGCGCTTCGCAGGGGGCAGCTCCTAGGCAACACAAATAGTCAGGAATCCCTGCTGCACCCCAACCCTATGAATGTCTAGGGTTGCATCAGCAGTGCCTTGCATCCTGCTCACATGCCCCACGAGTCGCGGACAAGTAGCGATAGCACCTGTACCCGCTCGCGCTGCGCTCGTATTACGCCGCTCGTCAGTGTACGTCCTCCCCACGGCACACATCCATGCCCGGCATATATCCCACGTATGCATACGCACGCTACGCTACTTCAATTCGAGTTGCTGTTGAATCATCTACGTTGAAGGTGTTTACTTTCAGGGTGTAAATATTTAGTGCGGTGTAGAGCGCGCACGTGTTGCAGGCGCCGGTATTGCCCGCGGCTTGGTAAGTACAACTCGTTTGCCTACCAACGTTACTATGGCGTGTTGATGGCAGGGGCACCAGGTACACTCCAGCAACAGGCGCTGCCCTCCATGGGAAAACTTTGATATGCGCTGTTAAGCGAGCGGGAGGGTGGACAAGGCCGGTCTTGTTCGGTTGGGCGTCCGACACACGATCACCCCTTGGAGCTCAATATCCAGACGCTTGTTGACCCCTTGTCCTTGGCAATGATGTTGCAGGCACGAAGGTGTACCCTCCTTGATTGCTATTGACCACGAAAGGCAGTTGGACCAGTACGGATATTAGTAGGTACTGAGCGGAGACCGGAACGGTTTTTCAAGTGAAGACGACAACAACCAACAGCAACAACAGCAACAACGAAGTACTCCTTGTTTGCCTCGTTCTGTTGTACGTGTTTCCCAAAATCCCTTTAACCGCGGTACATTGTACATTCCCTTTCAAATATGGATGTTCCAAGGTACATCAAGGACAAGGATGAGGACCTCGGCAGTCGGCTCAACCTGCAGCCCAAGCAGGTCCGCTCCGCCCTCGCCGAGCTTCTCGCCGAGGGCTTCGCCGCAAAGGTACAAGGAACCGTGAAACTCATAATCCTGGTTCAGTTATAGCCGAAACGTAGGACAGATAAGGTAGTCAGGGAAGCCGATGCTGACTTGCAGGCGGAGGAAGAGTTCTACAATCGCAAGCATCATCAGCACCGGGACAGCCTATCTATTTGATACTGGTCGAGTTTTTCTCCCAAGGAAGAGTCATGCGTCAATATTGCATCAGCAAGCTGGACAATACCGAACAACTCAAAACCGGTATACTCCATTGCTGTCCACCTTCCTCCCTCGCAAACACGCCGCTGGGCCGCACACGCGCACTGACTAGCCGCCTCCGCCGCCGCTGCTGCACACTGGTGCTGTTGCTGCTGCGCAGGAAATGATGTCGGACGAGATCTACTCGGGTCGGAGCAGCAACTACTGGTACATCGACCTGAGGCACGCCGTGAACGTGATCCTCCTTCGCGTGTTCCAGATGAAGGAGATCCTCAGCCAGCGGCAGGAAGCGAAGGCCGCCCATCAGGCACGTGATAAAAACACCAGCTTGGAAATCTAGTGCAGTGCGGACCCTGTGAAGATTGTAGCACTTCTTGCTCACGCGAAAAAAGTTCCCGTGAAAGCGGATTCGTAGGGCCGTGGTGTCCGCCGCGCACGTGACTTTCACCGCATGTGGCGGTAAGCCCCCCCCGCTCCCCCACCTTTTTTTCTGCGTTTCTTTGCTGTATCAACAGATTGTGGCTGACGGTCTCGTGTGGTCGGTCTGTGTATTGGTTGACAAGTTTCCCCCCCTCTCGGATGCACAGAGGCTCTTACGTTTGGTATTTCTCTCTCTCTGCCATGACGGTAGACGGGATTTGGCGGGAGAGAAGTATGTATCACGCCAGCCCTTTCTAGCCAACAGAATTCCAATAAACGAGCCGCTACCCCCCACCCCCGTTTCTGTTTTTTCACTCAAACTTTGTTGTTCGGCCATACCATATTCTGTAGGTCCTGAACAACGATCTGACGCGCCCCAACGATATAGACTGCGACCATTGCACGCCCAACGATTTGAAGCTGCTCTGTCAAAGGCAAGAGAAGAGTCACGTGTGTAGCCATTTGTCTTCCCAACTTTACCGCATATTGTTTGCCTTTCTTTCGCTACGGTGGTGGCGGCACAGACGTACGTGTGCCCGAGGTGCCACGAGAAGTTCGAGGTGATGGACATCTACAAGCTCTCCAACGGCGACAGGTCGTTCTGCTGCAGCCACTGCTGCCCCAACGACGACCACAGCGGGTGCAAGAAGGGCAGCGGCTACACCCTGGAGGACTTTAACGACAAGAAGGGGCTCGACTCGGTGACCGCGCTGATAGGCCAGCTCAACGAGCAGCTGGGGGAATCGACCGATCCGTGAGTTGACGTCGCGCCCGGGGGGGGGGGGGGGGGGGGGGGNGGGGGGGGGGGGGGGGGGGGGGGGGGGGGGGGGGGGGGGGGGGGGGGCGGATGCATGTACCCGTGGGATTTTTGTTTTAACTGCTTGCTTCTGCGTTCTTTGTGGTCAGGCGGCAACGCGGCACAGTAGGTCTGTTGCCAGATTGGACTTTTATCCTCGTGTCTGTCCCCCTCCTCCTGGTTCCGTCTCTAGCCTCTGCATATATTCCTCCCCTTGAATCAATCCCGTGCCGGCGACGCCTTTCACCATCCCTCACCATGGTAGCGTTTTCTCTCCCGCGAGATGTGTTACCTTGCATTCCTTCGTCGATTCAACAACCTCCATCTCTGCCGCAGCCCCCCTCACCCCCATCCAAAAATCGATCCCCAACGCGTCAAGACAGAGCCGTACCACGAGAGAGCATCTTCGAGCTCGTGCACTCCCTACGAGATACTGTGGTGCCGAGCAACCTGCCGAGCCAGCTGAGGCAGAGGGGGATGGGGGGGCAGCAGCGGGGGGACGTGTCTAGCGCGCATGCGAGGTTTCAGGACGACTTCCACCACCGAGGGAGGGCGGCGGACAAGGCGGCGGCGGAGCGGGGTGCGGCGGGCGGCCGTGCTTCTTCCAGGTGAACGAACAGCGCAATCCCGAAAGCTTAAAGACATCTTGTCCGAAATTTCGATACTTTAATCAAGTGAACAATGTTATCGGAAAGAGTGATTTGTGTGGTTGTTCGTTGTGTTTTTTTTCTTTTGCTAGCATCAACTGGGCTTGCGGGATGATGAAAAAAAAAGCCATCAACATGCTCTCACCAAAGAGGCGTGTGTGCGTGTGTATTCTGCAATTATTAACAACATCGACCGTGCCAGCCGGCTGACCAATGAAAAGTGTGTGTTTTTTTTCAGGTTTTTGGCGTCGCATCGACCGCGCTTGACGGCTGGCGAGCCTTGTAGCGGGATTAAAACGTGAAGATGCTTGCTAATAGTCAATAAGGGTGTATGTGTGCGTGTGTTTCCTTCACTTTCAACACCAACCCCGCTAACCGGCTGACCGACGAAGTGACGAATGTGACGAATGTAATGGCGTCAGTTTCAGTGCGGCTAGAACAGAAAACTTTTTTTTGTAGGTAAACAAACTGGATGACGTGTAGAATCGGCTAAGTTGGGGTTAGGGGTAGGGTAAGGGTTAGGGTCTGCGTGCCCCCCTCCCTGGTCTTCTTTTGTAACAACCTTACCCTATTCGTGAGTACCATTTCTTTCTGTATGCGGGCCTGTGCGCGTGTCTGTTCACTTCGAGTTTGTTTCGGAGTTCACAGTCCAGCACCTCCTTATTTTAGCTTGTTTGCGTTACGCAACGCCCATGTCAACTAGCAGGCCTGTCCAGGTGCTTTACACGAAGAACTGGCGAGGGGAAGAGGTGGTGGTAGAAATAGAGCAGAGTGAAGACGAGGACGACGGGGACGAAGACTGGGACGCCGAAGGCGGAGAAGAAGAGGACGGAAACGGAGCCGGAGCCGGAGGAGGCTTGCTGTTGCCGTCCCGAGCGGCGCTCAAGCGCAAGGCCGCGGACGCGGCCGCAAAGGAGGAGGAGGCCGCCAAGCGCGCCAAGAAGGCCCTCCCGACCTTTCTCAAGGGGAGCGCCATTTCCGGCAACTACAACAACACGGCCGATAGCGAGGATGACGATTCCGAGTCTTCCAAGGACGACGCTAAGGCTGAGGCGGCGGCGGCGGCGCAGCATCACGCGCGACGGCTCGGGGTGGCGGCGGTGACCAGCGTGGCGGAGCGGGACGAGATGAAGAAGAGGCTAAGGCCGTGGACGGAGAGGATGAAGCAGGTCTGGCGACGGCAGCAGTCGGAAATGAGGCGGGAGGAGCAAGAGGCCGCTGCCGCCGCCGCCGGCGTCAACGGGGACGATGCTTGGTGGGAAAGCGACGATGAAGATGGTCCTGCGAAAAACGGCGGCGGTGGAAGGAAAGGGGCCCCGCAGGCGAGAACATCAGCCAGACTGCTAGGACTATCGGCGGGGGTTGGAGCGGGACAGAGATTCAGGGTCGGCGTCCGTTTCGTTCCGATAGAGGCGCTCACGGAAGAGGACATTGCGAAGATGTCGGCCGAAGACTACACGAGATTTTACAACGTGGTGGTGGGCGAAGGGGGTTGTTGAATGCAAACTCAGGGAGAGCCACGTCTAGTTTCGATTTTTGTTAAAACTTGCGTGCATATTTTTTGGTGTTGTTTTACGAGATTGGTTTGGGTTGTGTGTGGTGTGAGCGGCGACACCGTCGCAGTCGTTCTTTTGTGTGATTTTGTCCGGCTAATGCCCCTTTCGAGGACTTGGCCGAGCTCATGTGTCCCCGTGCTTTTTGTGTGCCAAAGGAAATTTGTGGTATTCTTTGTCGATACAGCGTGGTAGTAGTGTAGATGAAAGCCAGGACGAGGAACGCGCATGTTGCCGCCGAAGGCCGAATGCCGTCCTCAGCTGCCTCGACTTCAGCGTGGATAGATAGGTATTCTGTTTTGGCATCTGTAACCTCGTGCTCTCGCCCACTTGGAGTGGCGGCGAGGGTACCGATGCCAAGGTGTGTTCGCCGTAAACGTGACTTGTAGACTAGTGTGGTCTGGCGTGTTGTGGAACTGAGTAACAACCTGGACAACTCTGTTTCACCAAAATGCAGAGACACAATGACGCAGTCGCCCTGCGTTAGTCCTTTATGACGAGACTGCGCCTTGCGAGCCGTTTTACACTTTTACACAAGGGTTCATGCGCGCGCACGCTTACCGAAAACGAACATCATGGTACAAGCTCTCCTAGAGAGAGAAAAGGTGCCCGCAGTTTTCTGATTGGCCAACTTTTTTGAAAGGAGATTGGCACCTGTTAAGTCACCGAGTAGCAGCAACTCTCGACTCAAACACAACGCTCGACCCTATCTCCACTGACATGTCGCACTTCCCAACAGCTGATTCTTTGCTGGAGCATCACCCCCGGCCCCCTCCCCACGAACGAACCTGTATTGCACCCGAAATCGATTTATGTTCCAGTCCAAGCGCGACAGCCTACTATCGACTGCCTGCCCCACGCAGCATCGTGCCTATCCACGCCGCGTTGAGTACCACAGACATCTAGAAACTGCGCCCGAGCATGCCAAAAAAAGCTGCCCGCTTGCCCCCGGTTCAAGCACGCCTTGCGTACGGCAGAAGCCCGACCCCCCCCCTCCCGATTCGGTCTACTTGCCTTGTCACTGTCCGCCTTTACTGCCAGCAGAATCCCTGAAGACACATTCTCGCATCTGCTTGAAGACGAGCCGCACCGCAACTCAAAACAGGTCGGGCATCCACCTTCCGCCAACAAAAAAAAAAAAACTTCACCCCACCCACCCAAGTGCGAGCGTACTAAATACTGCTGTAGCAACACTGCCCTCCATCACCTTAAAAGCCACCGGAGCTCACGTAAGCAGCAACAGGTGCGTCTACTGCTGTTGGACCGTTAACAACCTCCAAGGCGACGATCATCCACAGCCAGCGATAAACACAGGCACACCCAACCCCACCTACCACCCGATGGCGTGATGGTGGCGACCCCGGGGATTCCGATGCCTCTGTAGACCGCGGGCAGCAAGGCGCACCGGAAATAAAGAAAAGACGAGACAGCCAGCCACACCCCCGATTGCCGTTGACACTTCCAAAAAAAACTTTCAAGTCGTCAAATACCGTGTTCTCTATCCGCGGCACTGCCGTCCTCTACACCAACCGCCCTCGTAGTTCTTGATTCATTCGAGATCGCCGGGGGCCTAGCCCCAAAAGGAAAGACTGCCAAAGGAGACAAGTAAAAACCCCGGTGTTGCATCCAACTGGTATGACCCCGGTTGGTGCGTCCAAACAAGCCGAAAGGCGTAAAACCGACTTCCAGGACAAACAGGAGCAACACACAGTAGCAGCGCTGCTGGGCTTGAGTGTCCCCTCCCTTGATTGGGGCCCATGCCAAAAAGCTGTCCGAGCAGCTTGAAAAAAAAAAAAAGAGCCCGAGAGAGCCTCCCTTTGGCACAGCAAAGCAGCTCGAGGCCGGGCCCAGAACCATCCCCGTCTCACGCAGTAGCCTACCCCCTGACTTTTCCCCTAGCGAGACTCCAATCATCCCCGCCGGGGTTTCAGCCTACGGCCCTTCACAATCCTCCGGCCCGCCTTCGGGTTCGTCGGGGCGGCCCCGGCCCCCACGCTAAACCCGCTGGTACCGGGGGCCGCGGCACCCGGCACCCCCGCCGCAAAACCTCCTCCCGCGGCCCCAAACCCTCCCCCCGGCGGGGCGACAACCCCCGTCGCCGCCGGCGCCGGCGCGCCAAATCCCTGGGCGGGGGCGCCGAACCCTCCGGTCGCTTGCGCCGGGGCACCGAAGGAGAACGCCGCGGCGGGGGGCGGGGGACCGGCAGCCGCACCGGCGGCGCCAAACAGCGCCCCCGCTGCCGGCTTCTGCCCAAAGCTGAAGGCAGCCGCGGGAGCGGCCGCAGCCGGGGCCGCGGCGCCCCCGAAGCCGGTCGCCCCGGCGGCGCCGAACGCCGAGGTGGCGGGAGACGGACCGCGCGGCGGCTGTTGCGCGACCCCGAAGCCCGCGGAGACGGCAGGCGAAGAAGCCCGCTTAGTCCCGCCGCCGCCGCCGCCGCCGCCCGCGGGAGCGCCGAACCCGCCGAAGCCGAAGCCCGTCGTCGCCGTCGAAGGCTTCGGGGCGGCGAGACAGGCAGCCGTCGGGGCGGGGCCGAGGCGGCTTGCGATTCCGCCCGGCCCGCCAGCGGCGGATGGGGCCGCCGGCGCTGCTGCGGCAGGGGCGGTGGTGGTGGCACCGAAAGAAAACGCAGGAACCCCCGGAGTCTTCGTAGTCGCCGCCCCCGTCGCGGCCGCTGGAGCAGCGCCGCCAAACACAGTCTTGGTCGGTGCAGCAGCAGCGGCACCCGCGCCGACGGCAGGCCTAGCGCCGAAGGTAAACGTCGAAGGCGTAGCAGCGGCGGCGCCCGGTGCCTGGGCAGCAGCCGGGGGGGCCGTGCCTGCAGCAGGGGCCGGAGCGGTGACGCCGAACGTGAAGTTTGCCGCCAGACCGGAGGCAGGAGCGGGAGCGGGAGTGGCGGCGGAAGACGACGGAGCAGCCACAGGAGCAGGAGCAGCAGCACCGAAGGTGAAGCCCGGCGTCGGAGCAGGGGCGGCCGCGGGGGTAGCCCCGTCAGTCCCGGCGGCTGCCCCGATCGTCTTCGCGGCGGTGGAGGTGGTGGAGGTGGTTGCCGACGTCGAGGCGGTCGCAGCAGTCGCAGCAGTCGCAGCAGTCGCAGCAGCAGCAGCGGCTGGGGCGGCACGGCCGAACGTAAACGCAGCGGTAGGTGCCGCAGGGGCTGCTGCTGCCGCCGCCGACGCTGACCCAGCCAAGGACGAACCCTTGGCCCCTCCGGCCGCGGCACCGAAAGAAAACGCGGGACCGGGGGCCGGGCTAGCGGCAGGCGCGGGCGCGGCGGCGGGTGCGGCGGGTGCGGCGGCGGGCGCGGTTGAAACGGAAGAGGGAGCCGTTTTCGCAGCTGCTGACGACACGCCGCCACCGCCTCCGCCGCCAAAGCTGAAAGCAGGTCCAGGAGAAGGCTTCGGGGCGGCGGCGGCAGTAGGAGCCGGGCTGCCCGGCGCCGCCGCGGCCGCGGCGGGGGTTGATGGTCCGAACGAGAAGGTTACCCTGGGCTTGCTGGGGGTGGGCCTGGCGAGCGAATACGAGCGTGTCGGGGGGTGTCGGCGGCGTCGTTGGGAGGAGAAACTGCGATGAGAACTAAATAGAGGATAATAGCTTTGACCGTACGACATCATACCACGCGGAGTTCGGGGCACTGCTGCTAGTGCTCCATGGTTTTGATGCGGAGATGTGGGGCAGGGTACCGACACGGAACAGGGATGGTAAGCACTACTTGGCCGTCCGGAGGGGAGTACGAGCGTCCTTGAACAGCCTTAACCGGGGTAGCTACTTCAGTTCTTCGAATCGTCGCAAACTACTCGTCCCTCGGACCTCGCGAAAACGCTACAAACACGCCAGCACATGACTACCAAAAAACACATGCTCACCGCGCTGAAGCAGGCGTGGCAGCAGCTGCCGTCGCGGCCGCCGCAGTAGTTGTTGCATCACTCGCAGTCTTGGCCGTCGCCGTTGCCGTCGCCGTTGCCGCCGCTCCAACCGTAGCGGCAGCAGTCCCAGGCACACCGGGGGAGGCCAAGCCCGCCGCCTCGAGCCCTGCGCGCACCGTGTACAGGGTCCTGCCCCCGCTGCAGGAAGGGGAGGCAGAGATAGCGAAGATAGAGCGGGGGTGGGTGGGGGGGGATAGGCGCAAAAACGATCCGGCTTAGAGGGCGGGCGAGGGTGAATGACAAGCCAAGCGTAGCAGTAATACTCTAGAAAGACATGACACACATTAAAATGCCACAGAGGCGTGGTGCCATTTGAAACAAGTGAGCCAACGGCGGGGGTCGAGGCAAGGCAGGCATGGCCCCCGAAGCTCTTGGATCCCTTGTACACCCCCCAAATGCCGGATGCGCACGTTGCGCACACCTACACCTTCTTAAGGGCTATGCCGTCGCCATCGCAAGGGAAGCGTGAGCGCGGCGACCGTCACAACGCTGTCCTGACACGGTGGGTAACAAACGCGTCATGTATCTGGTGCATCACCGGTGATTGGCGTGGACTAAATTGAATGCTGGGTCTTGTAATATTTCATGAGAGAGCTTCCTTCGGGCTCCCTGCTGGGCAAATAACAGCAACGAAACTTGCCTCTATCGGGTAGGGATCAGCTGGAAAAACATTGAGCACCCTTTAGGTGTCAGGTCGAAAACTAAAAGCAGCAGCAGCAGCAGCAGCAGCAGCAGCAGCAACAACAACAACAACGACAGAAACCAACGTAAGCACCGGGAGCAAAGCACCGACTCGAGATCAACTCACGGAAGAACAGCGGGAGGGTTCTTGAAGCTAGGCGTGCCAAAGTTTCTCGGTCTCCTGCACATGTCGCACGCCTTCAGGTCCATGTCGTAGACCCTGACGTAGCAGCCTTGGCACGTCCATCCCTTATTGAGAGGACCACAAAAACAACGGGGGGAAAAGAAAAAGAAAAAGAAAAAATGACAAAATCGTGAGGACAGCGGAGCAAAGGTTAGACGTCGCAAGAACTAGAAAAGAACCCACCGGCCGACACCGGCAGAGAGGAACGCGTCTGCAGCGGAAGAAGCAAAAAAACACAGAAATGACGGTTACAGAAGTGATGCTTGCGATTTGCGCTGCCTATATTGAGAGCCAGCCAGCCAGCCAGCGCCCCCGATGTAAGCAACGCGAGATCGTGGAGCAAGGGAGCACCCGCAACCAGCGATGGGGATACGGGAATAATAGAATAGTAGCCCCTATGCCAAAAACGAAAGACCTCACTCCTGTGTGCTGCACACGGCAACTTACAGCGAAGGCGCCACCGCTGCCCTTGCTCAGGAAGGTGTCGTTTCAACCGGGGAGCAACACCGCTGCCACCACCAACATCGTCACAAACCAAGAACCCGCAGAAAATCTCACGACACGGTCAAAAACTGGGATATCACCCACACACAAAAAAACAAGTCGCTGTCTAACCTTGGAAGCCGATTTGACGGGGGTGCCACCAAGCTTGGCACCGCCTCCCCCGCCTCCGCCTCCTCCAAGAGCCAGAGCCACCGGTCGTACTGACGTCGGCAGGCCGCCGCTGGGGTCGATCCTCCCGCCCGTGCCGCCGTGCAAGTAGGGGGACCGCGCGTGTCGCCCTCGGCGCCGCGCCCGCAGCCTCCTCTCCTCCTCCTGTTCCTTCTCCTTCTCCTTCTCCTTTTCCGCCGCCGGAGTGCCTTCTTTCTCTCCGCTCCTGCTGCCGCTGCCGCCGCCGTTGGCTCGTCCCCCGCTGGTTGCTGCTGCTGCGCCAGCCTTGTCAACGCCGCCGCCGCTGTTGTCGGCCCCGCCCTTTCCCCTGGTGGCGGGCGAAGCGGCTGGGCCGGCAGCAACGGGAGAAGAAGAAGCATTGGCGACTCTTTGCCGAGATTCGGCCGGGGACGGGCCGCTCTTGCCGTCGCCGGCGGACGTGGGGGTGCCGCTCGATGGATGGGCAACCCCCCCGCCCTCGCTGCTCGTCCGCGCGCGCTTGGGGCGCGGCTGCACGATGGCGAGGTCATCGGAAGAGTCGGAACCTCCAGCATCATCAGCCTTGTCCATATCCGCGCCCGTACCGGTGCCGTTCTTGCCATTCTCGCCGCCCGCCGCGTCCTTCGGCACCGCCGCCGCCGCCGCCGCCCCTGGGAGGTCTTCTCCCCTTTGTGGCCCCGACCCTTGGTCGTCGCTAGTCTTCCGCTTGCGCGATCCCGGCGCGGCCTTTGGGGAAGACTCCTCGGCGGGAGCGGGGGCAGCAGCCCTGGCCGCCCCCGCCCCTTTCTCGCCCGAAACCGCCGCCGCCTGGCGCTGCCTCGTCGCACTCTCGCCCCCGTTGCTCGCGACCACGGGTGCGTTGTCGCCGCCGCCGCCGGCACCGCCACCGTAGCTCTTGCGCGCAGCCCACCGGGAAGGCGGGAGTCTTGCCGGGGTGACGCCCACGCCGCCCGCCGCCGCGCGTGCGCCGTAACCGCTGGCGGGGTGCGGCACCGACAGCATGCGGGTCGGCAAGGGCTCTGCGTCGTCGTATTTCCTCCGCCTCAGAGCAAGGGCGTCGCGAGGGGGGCTCGGTCCCGGTAGAGTCAGCTGAGACGAGAAAGGGCGGCGGGGGGCGGACGGTGCGCGCGTTTTGTAAGCCGTTGATGGGCAGTGAGCGGGGGCCTGAGCCAATACATGTATTGCTTCAAAATCGCTATGTGCGATCCCGCAAGCGCTCGGCTGGGGAGGGACGGGGGGGGGGGGG